CTGTGATATTGCCCGGGTACCCAAACCGAGGCAGGTGGTTTTCTTAGGGGGCCACACTCGGAGCCTTTGACCTAAAGATCTGATCCACAAGGCAATGGAGCAACGTAAGGAAATGCAGTCCCATGTCAGCCAGTGACCAATAATTGGTTCATACGTCATTTGTTCCCTCAGGATACTGGAGTTTATGTACACCCTTGGTTCGGAATCAGGGCTTTTCATCTCCCCTAGGTGAACTCTCCGTGTACACCAACCCGGTTATAGCTTCGGACGTTTGCTTTTCGTCTCTCAATTTCGTCAACAACACCCTCACCACGAGAAGGCAACGAGTAGGACTTCCCTGGCAGTGGTTGTATGCACGTGGCCATTTGAGAGCGTTTGGAGAGGGAGAGCGGACTTTCTCCACTCTCGGCCGTACCTGGGCATTTGGGGGCTTTCTTTTCGTTAATAGGCGAGGAAGATACTAGTGGGATCACGGATTTTCCCAATCATTGGAAGGTTAGTAATGTGGAAATGAAAAGCTATCGAACTTTAATTTAGATAATTTGAATGACAACATTTCGAGTGGCATGAAACTCACAATCGACTGTGTCTGATATTTGTCAAACTCACCATCATGTGAAAATCATTGAATGTGTTATTTCACTCTTTGTAAAAAACATGCTGTAATTGTCAGTTAGACTAGTTGAGATTTTCAGCAATTGATTCAGTTAACAAACCAATCATATCTCATCAGCACATATATTCTACGAATTTGAAAACGGAGACGATAATAAATAGGCCTAACACCATCTATAAAATTGGCTACAAAGTTTACGAGAAATCTTACATCAAAATGTTTATGTAGTCTGTTGAGGTCATGTGTTGTGTATGTTACTTATCTCTGTTCACATAAATAGCATGTCACACCATTCAAAAGTTGAATACCTAGCAGAAGAAGGTTGAGAAGATGAAATTGGATAGAACTGGGTAGAACAAGAATGTTAACAAAGAATAATTGTAATAAAAACAGGAATGAAGGGACGATGAAGTTTGTAAGAGACAATTGATGGAAAATATACAAATGGAGTATTAAATATATGGATTTTGTATCTTATTAAAGCGCTCTGTAATTTTAGTTTAAACAATAAATCGGTCATCTCCACTTAAGTGTTGGTTCACTACACATGCATTTCACTGCAAGAATCACGAAATTTTCGGTGAAATAGATCAAATTTTAAGAATATCATAACCAATAATTCTTATCAGATATGAAAAGTTTTTTTCTCCAAGTTCCGAATTAACTTCTGTTGTGCAAAATGATCATTACATTCAGCTACCGGTGTTTGAACCATTTCACTCTTTGCTTGAATAAGTATAATTAGGAAATTAGTATAAGACTGATCTGTGGTCACCTATAATTTCACGAACAATCAAATCGACGATAATTTTGTACTAATAACGAAATATTTCACTAACAAATTTTGAAATTGATATCCTTCCTATAACGTCGTGTTTCTTAGCTTTAACTCATCTAAAACGAAACAGTGTGTGTGACTGATTACATTTGAAATATTGTTTAGTATTTATTAGTTTTTTTCTAAACACTTTCCAATCTCCCTAACATCAAAATCAAATTACACAGAGCCAATAAAATTTCTAAAAATCATAAAGATTACTCTTTAATATAAAGATAGGTAGTAGTATATCCATGGTAATTGCCACGACTGTATTTTATCTACAAATCATTATTGATATTATTACTTTGGGCGTTTTTCTCTGGTTATTTACATGTAAATATATATCTACGTGTCATATAATAATAATAATATGAGAGCATACAGCTGTGTTTTTCTCACTTGAGTATTATTATATGTAGTTTTCATTACTGTATCTTATCATAAAAATCCGTTAAATTTTAATGGTAAAATCTAACTACAACTACTTTTCAACTCAACTATGTTTTAACATTGTGACCTGATTTTGACCCTTATTATTCTTTCTACGTTTTTCTCTTATATCTAGTCATAGATATCGATAGTTGTAGATTTTTTTTATTGTTAAATCAGTTATAATATTCATAAGGAATCAATATTGTACACTTGTTAGTATAGGTATACCTAGTAAAGAGTGTTATTTTAAACGTTAGCGATATATATATATATATATATATATATATCGGATTTGAATGATTTTAGCCCTGTGAATTCGATCAGTTATGAGTATTTTTGTTTTGAGGGGTGTGGCCCCCTAAGAAAACCACCTGCTTCGGTTTGGGCACCCGAGCAGTATCACAGCCCTCACACATATCAAATGAGATATGTGTGGCGCATATGTATTTGGTGCCTTCTTGTACCGATATCTATGTGTTAAAATAAATAAAATAAATAATTTTTGTTTTGAACTACAGATTCTGTTCTATGTAAAATGAGTTAACTTTTTTAATCGTAAATTTTGAAGTTTGTTATAAATACATTAGTTAATTAATTGTTTTTAACCTTTTTAAAATGATTATTTTGAGTATTCGACTTAAAATCTTACTGTTTGTATACTAACGTGCTGTACTAGTTCTGTGGCATTTCGGTCGTACATTTTACATCATATACATAGGCTAAACTGTGTCTCAAATATGTATGCACTCAACGTTAGTTTGCTGGTTTCAACCTGATCACTAAGATAATGTAAAATCAATAACATTTTATATATTTGACCAATATTTCCGACGTACCAGTGTCCAATTATTTGTAAAAATGTAGTGTTGTTCAACTGCTTAATAGTTATAACAATACTTAGTTTGTACTGAGCACTATTGAATAGAATTTATTTTCTTATATTCGTTCAAATGTCATCCACATTTATTCAGATCTATTTTAATTGAGATAATTAATTGATGAATGTTAGACCACTATTGAAACCTTGGGAGAATTAGACGGCCGTTTCGCCCTAATACGGGATTTTCCAAGTGGGACTCGAACCCAGGACTTACGGTCTCACGCAAACGCTGAAACTCTAGACCACTGTGCCGTGATCCAACGTTGTTAATGTCTAACTTCAATTAATCCACGATATTGAGCAATCATCTTCCACTGTCTGAGGTGGATAACTTTCACACCCGACACCGATTGAACTCCACTGGTCACGGCTTCTCACTAGAACTCCGATAATCCCCTCTCAAAGTTATTCACCAGTGAGGACATGATAATTATCGCCATAGGGTTGCGGGAATTTCTTATCCTCTTTTTAATATGCGTTTACAATACTTTTGTGAAAGCCGAGTCTTTATTTTTATTAATTTTTCGTATTTCATAAATAGTTTTCTTGAATATAAAACAATTTTCATACAAACTGTTGTGACAGGCTGTGTCCGAAATCTGACACTGATACATGGTATGCTACGCGCTGACTCCCCAACTAACTACTTGAACGAACATACACGCGTGAAAGTACATTGGGTTACCTATTGAAATGCACAATTACTCATATATATATATATATATATATATATATATATATATATATATATATATATATATATACCACTCTAATCCTTAGGAAATTAATCCATTTCTGAGCTCATGAAATGCGCTTATTCTTTAGGTCACTTCTGATTGCCATTTATTGACCTTCTCATTAGGCTACTTCTGTTTGGTTCACCATATCACAAACATTATAAATGTTTTCTTATTTTTTTCCTGTCTTTTTTAATAATTTACTCAATCAAATATATGAAAATGTTATATTGACAGGTTGTTATGAATTTGGATAATTTTTTTGTGTATATCATTTAACATTTATGTTAAATCGAATATTTATTTGTAGTTTTCACTGTTGTTCTAATTTATGGAACATTAATACCCTTGTATATTTAGCCTTAATGTTTATAGTAACAATTGTAACACTTTGGTAGCTTCTGGTATTATACTATATATATATATATATATATATATATATATATATATATTGTTTATTTTGATTTTTCTCTACTTTTTCCTATTATGCAATTTTATATAATCAATATGTTGGTGCTATCTGTTCACTACCATTCAAAGGTGATTGATAAATGTTCATCTTATGTTACCAAAAGAAAAAGACAACAAACATTGAATAATCTAGATCTTCACTTACCCATAATTGAGGTAACACCAGTCAAAATTACAAAAACAGTAAATATTTTATCATCAAATTTAAATAATTGGTGTAATGACCACTTATCTTCAATTAATTTTGATTCAACTAATAATTGTGTATCATCTCTGAGTTCATTTGATCTACTAAACAGTCCTGTTACTAATTCTTTAAGTATTTTACAAGTTGAATCACCTAAATTAAAATCATTGAAAATAATGAATAGAAGATCAGACTTGAAAAATTTACAAAATACTAAGAATAATACTTCATCTATACTTAGTGTACCACTTATGGATTGTTTAATTTATAATGAGAATTATCAAGATCCAATATCGTTTGATCCTTCTACAATATCATCTGATGATTGTTTGATTGATAATCAGGTAAAAAATAATGTTTTGATCTGTTTGCCAGTATACCTTGAATGATTCAATGTGCTGCTATTTGTTGCATTTTACATTGTTCTTTGTATTTATATTTGCTTCTATGTCTCATTGTTGGAATTTGGCTTTATTGCTTGTTTGATATGTTCTGTTTTGTTTGATAATTTGTTTTATATATATTTACCTGCGTGTATGTATATCTGGTTTAGTGTTTTTTAGTGCTTATTCAAAATAATTTAAGTGTACTCATATGGTCTTAAAATTTGTCTGTTTGTTTAATGTTACAAGTCATTGATGGGATGTACAGAATGATGTGTTCCTTGATGTGAATATTTTTTCAGTGTTTTTTTCTCGTTATCATGTATTTAATAATTTTTAGTTATTTACTGCATGTTTACATATGGGTATTCATATCTTTTCATAACTATTGTTAAATGTGCATTATACTCTATAACAATTTTGCATTATTGATAAATGTAATGGAATTTCGATTGTTCCTTTCTTGTTTTGTAGGTGAATAGAAAGTTGGCCCAATGTACATGTTGTAATAAACTGCATATGCAGCGTTTAGAAGAAGGTCGATACAAGCTAGGTTCGCGTATTTATTACTTACGCAGATTTCGTAATCATGTCATGGTTCGAGTTGGTGGGGGTTGGCTAACATTAGATGAATTCTTGCATCGTCATGATCCGTGTAGACGAGGAATTCACTCATTTGATATGGAACCAGCAGTTGTATCTAATGATATCCCTCCTATAAAGTCATATTTTAATGTCCCTAAACCAATTCGCCGACATTCCGAATTTGAATCTCCACCTATTCCACAGATCGATTCCATGAGTAATTTCAGCAGGCAATGGTCTTGTGGTAGTAACAGTAGTATGGAAAGCCCGAGAAGTGATTCCAGTATGATTGATACTGGAATAGTTAGCGAGATTTCTAGTGGAGGAAGCATTTCTCAAGCATCTTCTTCCTTAAACTCCATTAAACAAAAACAAGAAAAACCAAAAACAACTGCTCGTCTTACCATACCAAAGGCTCCAAATCTTAGGACGGCTTCACGGTCTCGTGATACGTCTAAGAAAAATTCAGATTCTGGGAAGAAAATTTCAGATATTGCTACTTCTGTTATACATTCTCGTGCCTCTTCGGCAAAGCGGACAAATGTTCCAGTAAATAATACCACAAATTTTCGAACACCATCACAGCTCCGTAATCTTTCATCAAAACGTGAAGACTCTGTATCAAGAGTTTCAAATATCCGAAAAGTTTCGAAATCGCGTGAATCCTCCACTAAACGTGAAGAATCCACACTGACAAATTGTCGTGCGGATTCTACAACTCGTCGGACCCTTTGGAAAAATTAATTTCTAAATTTTTTTCTCTTTTTTTAAAAACTCATTTGGTTGATTTTATTTAATTATTTATTTTACCAGCAGTTATAAAATTCCATTTAACTGCTTTTGTTTTGGTTAAGATTTCTTTACAGATTATCTGTCATACATTGTGCAGAATACAACTTTACAAACTAGGCCCACTTGTTGTTTTTGTCATTATTATTGTTATTATTATTTTACTATGTTTTCTGGAATCTTTGTACATACGGAATTTTTTAAAATATCGACTCATATTATATAATCTTGTAATACGTTTAAAGAATAATATTTATTAGTATTGAATTAAGATAAAAAAAGAAAAATTCTGGTCTTTTCTGTTATGTCATCTAGTAATTCGATTTTTTTAAACCGTTGTTTTATTCAACGATCAGGAACTTTATTGTTGTTATAGAGACAGAATAATTTAGTATTATTGTGTTCATGTTTTACAGTTGTTATGAGTTGATGAGGGAATATTTGTAGACCAAGATGAGAATGTTGGAGATGTAGTTTCCCTTGAGGTTAGAGAACTCAACACTAACACATATTATTATCAAATCATTATTGAACTCAGTTAGTTGACGTCGTATTATGTATTCATAACTTGTTAAAAGTAATAGGATTATAATGGATCGAATATAGTGTTATCTACCATCATGAACTATTAGCCGTATTTGATTGGATTGATTTTCACTGTCTGTATTAATTTTTGTTCCTTAATTTGAACTTCATATCTTTTATTCTTACATTTAAACGTTTTCGCAGTAAGTGTTTATGTTTAAAATATCTCATACGTATTTTACTGTGTGAAAGTGAAAAAATTGAGATTTGAACAAAGTAATAAGTTTTCCAGAAATATTCTCACAATCTCGAGAGGACATGTAAATTGTTTGAGTAAGTTTTTGTTCATACCTCATCACACTCGAATTTTAATTATAAAATCCTGGTACAGTATAGTAATTACATACATGAGGCTTTTATATCAAATACAGCTAGTGATAAGCAGGGTAGACATGTTAGGAAAGTGTTCAGCAAGATTAATTGATTAGGATTTCAGATGGGTAAGTCACAACCAATAATGACGTTAGAACAGGAGAAATGCTTGATTAGTAAAATCCAATCGTGGTAATGATAAGTATTTACTAAGCATAACAAAGCACATACATTTTTAATGGTAAAATGCACTGATCCAGTAGTTAAAATTACGAAGTGATTTCAGCTAGACGACTATTGGAAACAGCAGCAATGGTTAGCTGTTTCATCTTTGGATTGGACTGAAGAGTAAGCAACAATCATCCGTACCAGATATTGGACCCAGGACCTTCCTTCAAATACTATCTCTTAATTACTGAATCGGCATACACTGCTTCATTTTCCTAACATTGTTTTACTCAGCTGTACACAATCTTAGTTTGCGTAAATATAATTTGTCAGTATAAAATGTAAGTAAAAACCTAACATTGTGATATTGGAGTTATGTATTTCGTACTAATTTGTTTACGTTGTGGTTTTGGAATGAAATTAATGTTCAGTTGTATATGTTATATTTTCTTAGAGATCGATCGCATGTGATAAAAACTATGAAAGCGAATTTACAATAGGCAAATTCGACGGATATGAGAGTTGAAGAAATATGGGCTGACACGTAAACATGATGTTTCTTTGTGGAGATTAGTTTACTTCAAGGAATTATAGGTGACCCATTTTGAATAGTTTTACTTATCTTCACGCAGTAAACATTTTTGTTAACCATTTCACTTCCATGTCTCTATACAATTGCTTCATATGATAAGTTATTTCGTCTCACAGTGATGTAAACATAAATATTTCACTAGAAATGTTTATCTGCACAATTACTAACGTATAGTTTTTTAATAGTTCTAACCTAAGATCCTGGTATGTATTTGTGTTACAAGCCATTCTATATTTTGTAATCCAGATATGCTTATCAGTCTGAGACAAACGTTTAAAAACTATGATTAATCTCAAATCTAGATCTAATTATTGTAATAATTACTATGTGACATGTTTAATCTAAAGATTGCTTAAAATAGTAGTATCCTATTTGTTTTTGCCTATCTGATTGTGTCTATCTCTACATTAACATTTAGCCTCATAGTGACAGCTCTGAACATACAAGACTACTGATTATTAGGATGTATGTTCCTACCGTAGTTGCAAATCTTCAGTTCCTACAGTTTGCATACATGATCTGTTTCACACTAACAATATCACAAGTTTTAGCTTAAGATAATCAATAAATCTAAACTGTTTGATTTTTGGACTTTCAAATTTTAATTTTACTGTATTAACCTGGATTTCGCCTATAAATCGGTCCGAATTTTCCTTTTATTTAAATATTACATATATTATTATATAGATTAAAGTTAAAAACTGAAAGGCTTCTTACAATAATTCACTTGATATTGTTTTACTTGAATCTTCCTATTGATGTTTAGGACTGCAATTGATCAGTCCCTCATATTGGCATATGTGCATACTGTGCGTATTGCCTCAATATTGCCTTAATTTACAAGCATTATAAGCAAAGATGGATAGTGGCTAGCAGTGAAATCCAGGACGCGCGTTTTGTCCTATTTGGGACTCGTCAGCTGGATGTACCTGCATCTCAGAGTTGATGTTCACTCTGCGACTCGAAGATTCAAGTAAAACAATATCAAGTGAATTAAACTTCACCCCATTGCACAAGCAAGTGGCTATCAGGACTCAGTAGCTAAGTGGATAACGCGATGGCGTTTGAAGCGGACGGTACTGGGTTCGAGTCGCAGAATGAACATCAACTCTGAGATGCAGGTACATCCAACTGACAAGTCCCAAATAGGACGAAACGCGCGTCCTGGATTCCACTGCTAGCCACTATCCATCTTTGCTTATAATGCTTCTTACAATAATTCAATGATATTTTTTCATATTATATGGTTATCGATTTGAAAGACATCTGAATTGATCGCTTTAATTGAATATCACAATCATGAAAAGTTTTAGATCATTATAAATCTTAAGAATAATATGACCTAATGTAGTATGTTTTATACTAGAATAATTGTTATATGTACGTTTCTGTATATACATTTTATTAACACATGAGAAGGAGAAATCCAATTACTCAAAGTACACACGGTCATCATGTAACCAGTTAGTATATATATATATATATATATATATATATATATATAATGCAAATTTCTACAACTAAATTCATATCCATTGAATAGGTTAGTGGATATCTGAACTGAATGGCTAAGCAGATAATACGTTTGCTTTCAAGTGTCAGTTTGAACATTTATACCATGATTCAGATATATGCACTGAACAAATTTTAGATAAAATAGCTATTCTGGATCGTACTCTCAACCATAACACAAATATTTCTGAATTGTTTGTAAAATGTATGTTTGCGAAAGTAGTACATGTGAAATAAAATAGTCAATTAGTTGACCGGTGTCTAAAAGGTAGAATCAGCTATACTCGATGAAATGTAGTGAAAATATGGGACTAGAATAAATATGTGGAAAACTCTGGATCGTTTTTAATGTATATAAGTTGGTGTTATGATAAAACTTTCATATTACTGCTAAAACATCACAAATATTCCTTAAATATGAAGTCAACTAAATTTATTTATTTGAGCACATAAATATTGGTACAAAAGGGCACCGAATACATATGTGCCACACAAGTCACTTGATTTGTGTGTGGGCTGTGGTACTGTCCGTGTGCCCAGACCGAAGTGGGGGGGGGCCACGCTCGGAGCCATCGACCCAAAGGTCTAATCCACAAGGCAGTGAAGCCTCCTTAAGAGATGCGGTCCCATGGTAGCCTGTGGCCAACAATAGGTTCGAACGCCTTTTGTCCTTTCAGAATCCTGGAGTTCATGTGCACCATTGGTTTGGAATCAGTCTTTTCCAACTCCCCTGGTGAACCCTTCGGACATTCGCTTTTCGTCCTCTCAATTTCGTAAACAAAATACCGCGAGAAAGCAGTGAGTAGGACTTTCCTAGTAGTGATTGTATGCACGTGAGAGCGTTTCGAGAGGGAGAGCTAACTCTCCCCATCCTCGGCCTTTGGAGGCAGTCAACTTAATACGCGTATACACATGGTTATTTTGCGTATTTGAAGTGCACTATACATCCATATAATTCATACAGCGATATATTAGTTACCACTTGTGTGAAAGGATAAACCTGTTCATGATTCTACCATTTGCTTGCTAACAATTATTCATGATTACATTTAAGAAAATAAGTTGTTTTTTTATGTAACAGCTTATCAAATTTGTAAATTGTGACAATTAACATCGAAATTAACCACTCTGTTTAAGTATACTTGTTTGTTACAGATACTCAAGTAAACAAAATAACAGTTTTAAGATAATTTACAAAGAAAGAAGTTCAAACTGCGTTATTTGTTTAGCTTATTGCTAGCTGATTTAGTTCGTATATTCCAGTAAGAATCATTATGAAGTATAACGTTGAAATCTTCATTCTGCCGGCGACTTTTCAAGTTTCATTAAATTATTTTATAAATTAATTATTGTAACATAAATCAGCTTTTTTCTCTTATCACTATGAGTTCTTGACATTTTCACAAATTTAGTTGTCATTAACAGACCATATGGAACTTATGTTAATTATTTTTTTTTGAAAACTTTTTGTTAAACATTTTATTGTTGGTAGAATCTGCTGTACTGAAATAAACCATAATTTTAAATATTCTAAATGTATCGGTAAAAGAATCAACCTTAAGAAAGATACTTTATCGACAATATAAATAATATTGTATTATGTCTAAGTCTTTGGAACAGACAAGTGTTATTGATATTAGGAAAATCATTGGATAAAGAAAAGTGGAATTTTACAGATAAGAATGTTTTCATCAAAAGGAATAGCTACTTGAAAAAACTAAAATGCAACAGTTTACTTAACCATTCTTCATTCTCGAAACTACATTTTTTCAACATGGTCTCCGTAGTAAATAATTACGACGCAAGCATTTTTCTACTCACTAATGGAATACGAACGCAAATTTCACAATGAAAACTGTGCATATCAATTCCACCTTAAGTATGGATTTTTACAATCTGGCGAGCATCTGCAGCATATATTTAATATGAAAAACATTAAAACTAACCCGAAGATATTTTTGGTAAGTAGAATTACTCACTTTCACAAAGCATCTAACTTATGTAATCATTTACTGAATCCCTTGACAGATTAAAGATTCTTTGGATAAAAAGATTGACAAATATTCACTAGATTTCTTTTTCCAAAGTACGATTAGTCCCAAAT